CCAGAGCAGAGTACAGGGACAGAATCACCTCCATCGCCCTGCTGGCCATGCTGCTTCTGATGCAGCCCAGAACACAACTGGCAAGTGCACAGTGCCAGGTCATGTCCAACCTCTTATCCACCAGCACCCAAAGTCCTTCTCAGCAGGGCTGATCTGGATCTGCTCATTCCCCAGCCTGTATTGATAACCGGGGGTTGCCCCAACCCACTGCAGGACCTTTCACTTCACCTTGTTGAACCCCATGAGATTCCCACAAGCCCACATCTCAGACTTGTCTAGGTCCCTCTGGATGACATTCCATCCCTCAGATGTGTGAACCACACCACTTGGCTTTGTGTCATCTGCATATTTGCTGAGGGTGCACTCAATCCCTTTGTCTATGTCCTTGATGAAGACATTAAACAGAACTGGTTTCAGTACAGACCCCTGAGGGACACCACTTGTCATCAGTGTCTATCTGGACACTGAGTCATTGACCACTGCCCTCTGGATGCAACCGTCCAGCCAATTCCTCATCCATCAAACAGTCAACTCATTGTTGAGTTATGAGTAAGGTAAATTTTTCTGTTGTGTTAAGAGGAAGAAGATTTGGCAGAAAATAATCCCCCTGGCTTTCCAGCTAGTCCTCAGAGATCAAAGGGGCTGAGGGAGGCTGGGCTTAAATTCTGAGTAATAGCCAATTCGGCAGTAAGCAACAGAGAAATGAAGAGCCAACAGGGCACTGTAAGTCTGGCCACGTCCACTGAGAACTACCATGATTATGGATGCACAAACAGTGCCATACAATATGTCTGTTTGTATTCAATGAGTTCTCACAGACTGATTAAAAGTCTGATTGTATTCAATAATTCTCATTGTCAGATGCAAACTAGTGTAGTTTATTGAGCTACAGAAATGCAGGTTCTTACTGGATTGCTGATGATAAACACACTGTCTGCAGAAGCATACATGAATACGTAAAATATGAATAATACAGCCAGCGACAAATATATTAAATTGTAAAATAACTATATAGTGCTAAAATGTGATCACAAACACAGGACAGCTTTCTGAATTTTCCAAGGGAGCACCTGGTATTGCCAAATGTTCTAGTCTCACCCTATATGTGTTCCTATGGGGGAGGAGAGACAGCCTATCGACTGTCCCAGGATACAAGAGTGGAATGTCCTCTGACCTCCTCCCCCACTTCAGATATATTTATATTGTTTTCTTTGAGGAAGGGGAAATGGTAGAGTTACAGGTGATGTAATTTCATGTCTAGGTGTAGTTTGAGTGACTTTAGTCTTACACGTAAAGCATGTACAGGTTTTACTTTATTAGCATATGGGGGGGGTGAAAAGTAATATGCATTTTTGAGTTAATGAAGCAAAGTTCATCTTTCAGTCACTGTTTGGGTAATTCCTTTGGTTTAGTTCCTGTTAGCTGTTTTGACTTTGACAGCGCATGACCACAACACCTCCATGCTGCTCTGTCCTTTTTTTCATGTCTCCCTTAGGGCAGTATACCAAGGTCCCTCAGCGTTCCTGCTCCTAAGGTGTGCAGACAGCTTGCTCCTGGTGAACTATTGCCAACATGTGCACTTCTTCTTGCTGAGTTTTGTTTTTCAGTATTTTTCCACACTTATTAAATACATCTCTCTCCAATTTAGAAAGAAAGATGTTGTGGGGGACCATGTCAAAGGCCTAACAAAAGTCCAGATAAATGACGTCCATAACTCTTCCCCTGCCCACTGTTGTAGTCAGTACATTGTAGAAGGCCACTAGGTTGGTCAGACAAAGATAAAGTCAGGCAAAGGCTACAAAACTCCCATCCCACTTAATGTGGACTGGTTTCTGTGACTGAACAGCTCCTTAGGTAGCTGAAAGCTGTATAGCACACAACTCTTAAATTATAGACAGATGTAACTCTGGTTGTAGCTGAAATAAAAAAGCCACTAACATTTGACCAGGTGACTGCCTAGGGGAAAATTGTGATGTAATGTGGTGTGATGGAGACGTAAAGAGAAATCCTGTTGTGAAGGACCTGTTAAGAAGGAAACAGCTTGTAGCTTGTAGCAGGATGCTCTTTAGATTGAGGATAAAACAGCTCCAACAATACCCTGTTTGCAAAGCTATCGGCGGAGAATGGATGATGGGAGAGCAGGATTGCGTGAGCAATTTCTCCTGCATTTTTGTGTGCCTTGCCTTGACAAGGCCAGGCACAGACAGAAAAAAAAGCTGCGCAATCATCATGGCTTCAGGTTCTGAAGCTGAAACAAAGAAGGATCTGTGCCAAAATTAAGGTGGAGTCCCAAAAGGTAAACATATGTCCTCACCTCGAGTGGACACCTCCAATAATCCAATTAGAACTGGTCAAAAGGGCATGTTTACATTGTGAACACTTTCATGTAACCAGTAATGTAGAAGAGAAATCACCCGCCGGGGTGTAGAAGGAGTACATAAAGGGCATTTTTTTGTAAATACAGTGGCCATTTTGCGGATCACATTGGTCGTTTGCAGTTTGTCCCGAGCCCTTCCGCCGACAAATGGAGAAGGCAGTGTCATGGTGCTTTTGGCACTGAAGAACACTGAAACCAGCCTGACTCATCAATCCCAACCATCCTGAGGAAGAACAATGCTTCCTCATAGAAACTGGCACCCCTGAAGATGTGGAAGACCTGATAAAGTGCCTGATAAAAGGAACCAAGTGATGCTACTAATAACTTAGTTAAAGCTGCTAAGCTAACACAGCTGGCCTGGAGACATCTGGCTGACAGTCAATCATATATAAAATATAAAAGCCCAGTCTCACTTCTGAGTGGTAGAGTCTTTAACATACCCTCTTGGAGTGTGTGTGTAGTTTCCCCCCTTGAGTGGGGACACCCCACAAGGTTACTCCTCCAGGCTGAGGGAACCAGATTTGCCCACAGTCATTGATATGGGTGACTAACATCAACCTCCACGTACTAATTGTTTTTGCTAGCTTTTATATAGTTGCTTCAATATTACTTCAAAAATAGCACACTATACTAGTAGTTATAACTACCTATACTGTGTAGTAAAAAATTCTGATTAAAGTCTTTTTAGTCTAATCACTATCATTATCAAAATAGATTTAAATAAATTTTTTAAATGTAAATATATTTAGTTGCCATTCTTAATCCTGCAGGACAAAGTTGTATATAGGCTGAATTACACCTATATAAACCATTGACTAAGTCAATGTCTGAAGCTCCCATTCCCCCTGCAGCAGAGTTCCAGTGGTCCACTGAGGCCACATCCCCAGGTTTAACACCTGTACTTCTGTGGAACACGCCACACAGCTTGCTGTAAGTGGCTGGCTGGCCCACAAGATTTGTGATGCACTTTCAGCAGCACTCCGTGGTGCCCAATGCCTCTGGCCATGATGTTGCGTTTCCATGAAGCACAAGTGACATTCAGTATATGGTAAAGCCTTCCTGACTTGGACTTCTGCAGAGCACTAAGCTCCTCTCTGTCTTTGAACACCTTTCCTCATTATAAATAACGTGCTTTTAAAGTATGGTGCATCCACCAGCTCCCACTGAAATACTGAGGGTTTAGCAACCCTTCTTAAGGCACACATCCTGACTTTGGAAAGGGGTAGATCTCAGATTTGTTGTTACAGAAGTCAGTAGCCAAAATCCTTTTACCCGAAATTAGATTTAGTAGGGATTTCTAGCTCTTTTTTCCAAAGCTCTTCACTGGGAGCCAGGCACCTTGCATTCTATTGTGATCCTACCCATTTAACCTGAACTGGTAGGTGGGTGCCAGCAGTATTTCAGCATCACTGGACACCAGGAAGTTCTCCTACAACTTCAGATTCACTGTTTCACCCAGCTACCATGCCTGGTGGGTGCTTGGTGAACCACCTCAGTGAGTGTTAAGGATCACATCCTCTTACTGGTTTGCTCACCTTACGTGTTGCTCACAGCTGTGATCACTGGGCTTTGCACTTCCATTAAGCCATAAGCATAATTATAAACCCCCACATCACCAGTTAAATGACACATGAAATTTAATAACAGATAAAGAATGGGAGGTTTATTGGACTGCCAAATAAGCACAGCAAACTAGATGTCTCCTATCAAAGAAAACACCGTTAGATTTCAGCAGAGGAGTTATTTTCTAAGGAAACATATTCCTTTTTCATCTGGATGATGACCCTCAGCACCTGCTGTTTAAAAGAGCAAGGTAATAGAGTTCAGTGAAAATCTGGAGATAAAAGGGTCTCACCTTCAAACATCAATCTTCTAAGTTTTAGAAAACAGGAAAAATACATAACCCAGTACAGCTTGATATGATCATAGCAGAAAGCAGTAATATTACAATATTATAAAAAATTCATAAGTTCAGATATTTACTATGATTTTGAAGACAATGAATAATGAATTCTATGAAATTGTTGACTTGGTAGTTATCTCTGGGCAAGTGGGAATATTTAGTACAGCAAAGGAAGAAGAATATTAAACAAGGATTAATGGATGCAGATTTTCAGCACCTACCTAGGAAACTCTCTCTGTGATGGAGAAAAAGACTTCTAGGAAGGAAAACAGGCTAAAGGTATAGGGATATTGTACCTATGACATCTACTACATCCATGTACAGGAAGGGTTTTAAACACAAATTTTCTTCTTCTTTGTGTTATCTAATTAAATCCCAGGAAGCAGATGCTTACAATCTTAACCCCACAACATTCATGTCAGAACAAAGATTAAATGCATTCCTTGGCAGTCCTGATGACACTGAACCAACCGCTATCATCATCACTTTCAAATATGGCTTTCAATGGGAAAAGTACGAAATTAATGCAACCCAAAAATAAGGTCAATCACTATGAAAATTTCTCCCTCCCTCTCTTTATTGATGATGGACAATACAGATGACCTTTGACTACTTTGACGACTAGAATTTGCAATAGCAATCTCTATATGTATCACAAATACATTTTGCAACAAACTAGCAATGGTGTGAAAAAATAGAAAAAATTATTAACAGAATTTAATGTAAAACAGTCAAATCAGTTATTCGCATACTTATACTACTAAGTATATGTAACATCACTCTGCTCCTTATTTGCTTCAATGGCTGTGGGCAGGTTAATGTTAATAGCTGCCCTCAGGTTAGCCCAGAAAAGGCCATGCTTGCTCCTCTCCTTCGGCCACTCCAGGTAGGTGCGTTTTGCCATGAGAGCCTTCAGCTTGTGATACCTGGCAGGGATAACGTAGGGAGGGATCGGCTCCAGTAAAATCAGGATTAAGCTGTTGGAATTCTCACTGAATAACTTGTGATGGGCAAAGTACAGCTCATAGTGACACCACTCGCTCTGCACAAAGTTGGGAGACAACACAAAGATCGACTTGTAGCTCTTCTCAATGCAGTTAATGATGTTCTCCACAATGCTCTTGCCGGGGACAAAGTTTCTCTCGTGCTGGCACAGTTGTATGCAGCCCTCCCCCTTCTCCAGGTTTGGGATCAGCTCGTTCTTCACCCACAACGCATCGTGCTCGCTGTAGGAAATGAACGCGTGGAACTGCAGAACCGTCTCCTGCTCTTTGGGGTGGTTGTGCCAAGCTCTCCGCTTCGTCTGTGTCCACTGCCACGTCATCCGCACGTACCAGGGCACATCCAGGTAGATGCACAGGAAGGACACCACAGCCACCAGCACCAGCGTCAGCAGCAGGGCTGTCACCAGCAGCAGCGCTGTATTGCAGGCCAGTTCACTCAGGTGGAAGTCCTTCAGCTCCGTGCCTCGCAAGCCTTCCGGGTACTCGCACACGTACGCTGATGGCCAGCCAAACAGCTTCCCCCCTGACTGCCTCTCCACACGGATAAAGTCTTGCAGTTCACAGGAACACTTGAATGGGTTGTGCCCAGCTTGGAGCTCCTTGACCCTTGGGCAGCTCTGGAAGAAGTCAGTAGATGGGGTGAGGATCGAGTTCATCTCTATGTTCAGGAACTGCAGGGATGTGAAGCCACTGCACCCCGGCAGGTCAGCCAGCCTGTTCAATGCCAGGTTCAGCTCTTCCAAGGATTTTAGATCAGCCAGCCCCTTTGGGACACTGCTGATCTGATTGTTTTGTAGGTCGAGTTTTTTGATGTTGACTGGTAAGCATTCAAAGACAAAATCTGCCAACTGATTGGAGGACAGGTCCAACTCTGTCAGAGATGCAGCCCACTGGCATTGTACATCAGCTCCATCGTGGCGCAGCAAGTTGTTGCTCATGTCCAGATATTTCAGTGATTTCATATGGCTGGTCATGAAGCTTACCTTGAGAAGGCTCTCAAATTTATTCCATTGCAAAATAAGTAATTTCAGATCTATCAAAGTGCCACAATTCTGGAACAACTCATCCGTCAGGGCATTGTGAGAAAAATTTAAATACTGAAATGAGCTTGTTCTATTGGGGCAAAGCATGTGTGGCATATATGCATCATATATTGTCAAACTGGCAATATTCATCTCTGAAAACTGTCTGTATAGAACCTCCTGGTTGAAATAATAAATCTTAATACGAACATGCTCCAAAGTTAATGCTTTCATGGAGCCATCCAAAGAGATTAACTGTTCCAGAGAACTTAACAAGGGTAGAAACTCATATTTAGTCAGCTCCCCCAGTGATCCCTGAAAAGTCAAATTTCTCACAGTCAAATGCTCCACAGGTGAATACCAAATAAGCAGGAAAATTTGCAGAATGATAGGCCATTGTACATCCACAGTGTCAAGAATGAGAGCTGTTGTCTTGATTTTCTTCAGAAGCATTAAAGGAGGAGAGGGAAAATATTTATAGCTCAAGGTATATATTAAGTTAACTATTTTTAAATTTTCTGAAGTACTCATTCCATCGTACAAGAGGGAAAAACTGAAGTTTTGGTTTGCTGCAAAATCGATGTGGAGCCTCTTTGTATTCAAGGCTGTCAGACTCTGAGGCTCATACAGAGAAAAGTTTCCCAAGGTCAGGAAGACCGTGTGCAGCTGCAAATGTTTGATATACCTGAAGTCTGACCTTCGTATCATCATGGCACTTAATCCTAGGTACTCCAAATGAAACATGTTCTCAAATTCCGGGCAGATAGGCAAGGCAGTAAACTTATTGTAAGAAAGATCTAAATGTCTAAGACATGCAAGAGTTAGACAGTAAACTTTCAAAATGTTATTATGAGATAAATCTAAGTATTCTAAATTTTCATTAAAAACAAAGACACTAAAGTCAAGCACCGTAATTAGATTATGAGAAAGATTTAATACTTGAAGGTCAGAAAGATAAATAAATTCTGAGATACTAATTCCAGAGATCCTATTATGTGATAAATCTAATACTTGAGTATGTGGTGGAATGTTTTTTGGAACATTAGTTAGCAATCTGCCTGAATAATTTGCAATAAATTCATTTTCCACAGTTGGCTGGATATTATTCCATAGTGTGAATGCAAAGGCACAAACAAAGACATAGGTATTTGTGAGGGGTCTCATTATGCTATCCAGGTTAATCTTGTGTTTTTACAGAAACATAGAATTATATAGTTGTTTTCTGTTCAATATGTCTCACTGTTGAGTCCAGCCCTATGAAAAGAAAACACATGGAATTTGATGAAATTGTTGAACGGTTGAATTTGGTTTTTCATTGCTAAAATAAGGTTCAATATAAAATAAAAAATATTTTTACATACTCTTGTTCTAAGTTCTTATCAATTGTTCTCATGCCCCCCATTCTCTAATCCCAGTTATTGTTTTTCTCTGTTAAATATAAATTAATTCATTTATAATGGGAGGAATATAATCACTGGTATGTTAAAAACACATAGATGTAAAGAAATACAACTTTCTCAACAATCCTGAAAAGTACAAAACTGGCACAAGTAGAAAATGCATTTAGGAATAAAGGAGAACAGAACAAGGCCCTCATCTGCTCTTTCTGTACATCCCAAGGTCACACACATTTGGGGACAGAACTTCAATAGAACCACCCTCACAGGAACTGGTGCAAAAACAACCTCTTCAATCAGAAGAGCCAAAGGATATTCCTCTTCACACCTCAAAGACCCTGGACATGGCCATACACCCCCTCAGGTCAGCTGATCAGCTTTGTCTGTGCTATAGCACAAAGACATAGGGATCCGTTTTTCCAATAAGCCAAGAATGCTAAGGAGAAATTATACTGTCCATTGTATGGGGCTTATGTGGTGAAGTTTTGTTAGTGGGAGACTACAGGAGTGGTTTCTGTGAGAAGCTGCCAGAAGCTTTCTCTGTATTTGATAGAGCCAGTGCCAGCCAGATCCAAGGCTGAGCCCATCAGCAATGGTAGTAGTGCTTCTGGGTAACATAATTCAGAAGGGGGAAAAAAACCCTGGGGAACAGCAAACACAGCTCAGAGAGAGGAGTGAGAATATATGAGAGAAACAACTCTGCAGACACCAAGGTCAGTGCTGAAGGAGGGGGAGGAGGTGCTTCAAGTGCTGCAGCTGACATTCCCCTGCAGCCTGAGGTGAAGGTCATGGTGAGGCAGGCCTCACCAGCCCATGGGGTCCACGATGGAGCAGGTGGATGCCTGAAAGAGGCTGTGACCTCATGGGAAGCCTCCGTTGGAGCAGGTTCCTGGCAGGACCTGTGGACCCATGGAGACAGGAGCTCACACTGGAAAAGGTTTACTGGTAGGACTTGTGACCCTACTGGAGACTCACATTGGAGTAGTCTGTTCCCTAGAGGAGTGTACCCCATGGAAGGGACCCACGCTGAAGAGTTCTTGAACAACTGCAGCTTGTGGGAAGGACTCACATTAGAGAACTGTCTCCCATGGGAGGGACCTCACACTGGAAAAAGGGGAAGAGAGTGAGGGGGAAGAAGCAGTAGAAATAACATGTGATGAACTGACCGCAACCCTCATTTGCTGCCCTACTGTGCCTTTGGGAGAGGAGGTAGAGAAATTGGGAGTGAAGCTGAGCCCAGGGAAGAAGGGAGGGGTGGGAGGAAGCTGTTTTGAGATTTGGTTTTATTTCTCATTACCATACTCTGATTTAATTGTAATAAACTGAAATAATTTCTGGAGATAGAGTCTGGTTTGCCTGTAACAGTAATGTGCGAGTGATCTCTCACTGTCCTTATCTTGCCCACAAACCTTCATTATATTTTCTTCCTGTCCAGTTGAGGGGAGTGACAGAGTGGCTTGGGGGGACATCTGGAGTCCAGTCAGGGTCAGCTCACCACACTCATGAATTTTGTAACACTAGTCTGACCAAAAGCACACCAATGGGAAAACCACACCATGACTGGACACTACTTATGAAGCAGTGATTCCCAGAAACAGTCTGTTTCAGTTTTAAAATTCTGTCCCTGTGTAATCTTTTGTTAAATAAACCCCAAAACCCTATTTTTTCAGTTCAAGGTTATAATGTGTGTTAGTCCCTAATAATTTTATTAACTGATATGGAAACTCGACCCTTCCCCTCCAAGTCTCCTACCAGGTTTAATCAAGTTTTCTTTTAATCAAGTAAAGCAAAAATATATGCAATTAACATCACCAAAAGCAATAAAAGAGTAAATCAGTAAAATATAAATCTCTACCTCAATTAAATCCAATAGAGTGGTCAAATTAGGTCTTCAGAAAGTTGTGCTGGGTTGTCTGAGGGTGCAATAGAAATCAAGCTGGGATGTTTGGTCAAAGTATGGTATCACTCACAAGAGGAAACAAGACAAGGAAATCTGACCCAGCATCCTTCAAAGAGCAGTTGACCCTGTTCTTCAGAGTCCAGGCTGGTAAACAATCTAACTCTTGAATCAAATAAACTTTGATCTGGAACTATCTGGAGGAATTTCCCCCTGGCCAAAAGGGATGTCAGGAATAAAGCAAGAAATGTTTTGAAGGGAGAAAAAACCAGAAATATATTCTCTGTCCATGCTCCACTGCCAATGAGTTTTATGTTATTGTACATGCTATGCTACATGCTGCAACAAGGGACGAGACACAGTGTATAGCACTGAAGATTGCCACAGTCAGAGAGTAAAGCAAATACATCTAGCAAAGCAATATTAAGGATCAACAGTTACCCCTCCAATGCTGTTTTAGAACGGTATTAAATTAGAGTTGGCTGAGAATTAAAATTGCCACACCAAATGATTTTCTCCCTTTCCCCTTCACTGAAATTCAACATACAGATGAGCATTTTCACTGAAATCTCCACATGCAAGATTATCTTCCAACACTGAAGCAATACTAGCACCTGAGATTTGATGAAGTCCAAGATAAATATAGCAAAGAGAAAAAATTATGAATAATGGAGCAATTATAACCCACCTTTAGTGCATGGAACTCATCTCCAAGTTGATGAACCAGCAAAAGTCCTCTGCATAGTCAGTTAATATCCTCAAAATAGAATTTCAAACACATGTAATCTTCAGGATGGGGAATCTCACAGGAGATGCTAATTTCTTAATAATTATTACCTCAGGAAGCAGAAAGAACAGGATTTTTTAACCAGGCTACACAATTCTAAGAATTAATAAAATTTCCATACAATGCAGGTATTAAGAGCACAATGAAAGGGAACTTCTAACAGTTCAGACTAAAAATACATTTACTTCTGTAATATTTACATAACTGTACAGTTCAGGAGAAAATAAACCTATCTGCAGTACAGAATATTCCCCGTGGCAAGATTATTTAAATAATTCTGCATTTCTAATTTCAAGTCTGCTTCTGTTGTTACACAGATGTTCTAGAAACCCATCAACTGCATCTCCTCTTTGCACACACAGAAAAGAGGAAGCAGAACCCTCACTGAACTTCTCTTTGTGTCAAGATCTCTTGCAGAGCCCTACGCTGACAAAGTTTTTTGCTCCACAAGCAGAGTAATTAATGTAACACATTGTAACACAATAGCAAACGCTTATATCTCAAAAGTTAGTAACAGGGGCAAACTGACACAGTTAAAAACCTTTACAGGTCAGTTTTCTTTACACTAGAAATGCCTCGGATACATATCAAGGATATCCCACATTGTAGCTTCATTCAAAAAAATTACAAAAAATTAACAGAGAATATTCCCTATGATAAGAAAGCTGTAATGAAGCCATTAAGAATACGGCAATATAGGGCAATCAGTGGATGAAGGAATCCAGTAAAGCAGCCATTCACTTCAAGTTTTGAACAGGGGCACAAGCCCAGGGAACAAATCAACAGAGCAGAGAGTGAGTGTATTGCAAAGGCAGATGTAAATAACTGTCCCGGTTTTGGCTGGGATAGAGTGAATTTTCTTCCTAATAGCTGGTACAAGACTATTTTGCATTCAGTGTGAGAACAATGTTCATAACACACTGACGTTTTAGTTGTTGCTGGGTAGTTCTTATTTTTAAAACATGGACTTTCCTGTTTCCCATGCTGTGCCAGTAAAGAGGTGCGCAAGAAGCCGAGAGGGAGCATGGCCAGGACAGTCAATGTGAACCAACCAAAGGGATATTCCGTAACATAGAATATCACACTCAGTATATAAATTGGGAGAGGGTTGGCCAGGAGGGCTGATCATTGCTCAGTGATGGGCTGGGCATTGGTCAGTGGGTGATGAGCAATTGTATTGTATATCACTTGTTTCTCCTGCATTTTATTCCTCTCTCTCTCATTGTCATCATCATCACCATCATTATCATCACCATTACTATATTTTACTTTGTTTTAATTCTTAAACTGCTCTTATCTCAACCCACAAGTTTTACTTTTTTTCTGATTCTCCTCCCCACTGGGGGTGGGGGACAGCAGGAAAGTGAGCGTGGTACTTAGTTGTGGGCTGGAGTTAAACACAACAATAACCAAAACCAACATTTCACTCCCATAAGCCTCCAAACTAACACAACAGCTAAAGATTCAGCTAAAGAACCTGAAAAGCATGAAACTTTATTCTAGATAGCAGTGCTAGCTACGTTTCAAGCTTGCATTAGATTCCTTTGAAAGTTTTCTTTTGCAGTTACCTTTTCAATTTTGTAAATAATTTTATCCTCTGGTTTGCTGAAAGAAAACTGCTATTTTTCACTTTGAGATTGATGACTAAAACTGAACTGAACTAAAATTATTCTGGTTTTCTCTGTGCAGAGAATTGAGTAATATGTTAGAGAAAAGTCTGGGTCATCTGTGACCTGAGACAAGATCAGGGATCATTAATGTTTCTCAATAAGCAGGAAGAGTCTGTTTGTCAGCTGACACTGCCTTGACTCAAAGTTAAAAGAGAAGCTCCCATTTCTAGCCATTCATCCATGAAAATAAGTAGACTAAGGCACTTGTTGACAGAACAACGATATTGCAATAATGCAGAACAGTGGCAGTTTTACTTCCAATATAATCCACAAAAAAACTTTGCTGCATGGATAAAATCAAATACACCATCAACTGTCATCAGAATTGAAGCTAGTGCACATATAGCTATAAAAAGCACCTTTTAGTTGTAGTGTGTTTAATTTCCTTACCACTCTTCTTTATGAGACTTTAA